TAATCGATTAATTTAATTATATAAGAAATTTACCATATATTTAATAGTTTATAGTTTTAATTTTGAAACTTTTTATTGTATATCATAAGATTTACTAATTTATCTAGTATTTGGTCTTCCTATATGTTCAAACTAGTTGACATTCACACATGGAAAATGGGAGAAAATTATCTTAATTCAAAAACACGTTTTCTAGATTATAATCCCAATTTGTCAATGTTGGCTTTATTTTTTTTTATTTTGTTGGCCACATAATGTTGACTTTATTTAATAAAACTCAATTTGGCTTCACAAATGCACTTCAAACTATTGAAAAAGCTAAATTAATAGTATACAGTTTTGGTCTTATTCTTCATTCCATCCCTCTATTTTGTGAAATCTGTGAAATCATTCTATCTGTTTTAGTTTATCAGAATTTGATCTTCGTACTTTATGAAAACTAAAAGGCTACTTCAATTGGATAATACTATTAAACTTTTATCATTAAATCATTAACTTGAAAATCTACAGCTAAACAATTTATATGCAAAATATAACAAAAATAAGCATTTTAACTATTTGTATGCAACAAGTTTGCAGAAATCAACGTATCAAATTTATGTATTTATCAATTATTGGATTAACTTCTCAATTTTCATAACATATGGTAATCGATTTCTGATAAACTAAAAGTAAATGGGCTAACTTCTCAAAATTTGTAAAGTGAAGGAATGAAATCCATGATAAGACCCACATTTATAACCTAATAAACAAGTTCAAAATTAGTGTGTATTTTATGACTTATAAAAGTTTAGGGGTCAATTTGATTAAACTTTACCAAGAGATTATTTTGTATATTAAGTTATGTTTTATTTACTTGTTATTGTACTAATTTCGCTTGTTTCTAGCTTGTAGGGTTAAAAAAATTTTTAATCATTTCATTTATCTCTCACTGAATTGTTAGTGAAATTGTTTTTGTGTCTCATTTTTATTTAGGATAATAATAACTCTCAATATTCACATATTTTACAATATAATATTTATTATATTCTAAAGGCTTAATGCTCAAATAAGTGCCCAAATTATGTACTTTTTTTTCTTAAATAAGTGTCTCCATTTTTTTCGCTCATTCAGGTGTCTAACGTTACAAATGCTATTCTATTGGGTGTTCGGACCATTAACGATGTTAATTTTCCCATTAAGTGACATGTATCACAACCTGGTAATTTTAAAAATTTTATATACAATTTTAAAAAAACAAAATAATATATTTTTAAAAAAGAAACACATAAATTTTGAAACAACCCCTAAACCCACGACGATCGTTTCCCTTTGTCGTCGAAGAAGCTCTACCTAACCTCTCCTTCCCCTACGACCAAAACCCCTATGATAAAACATCGACGACAAATCGACATTTTAAATCCCACGAACCCTAAGAGAAAAATTACGATCTCACGCAATTTCGATGGTGAATCGACGACAACTACGACAACATATAACTAGGATGATGGCAAGGACTACATCAACGACGGTGGTCTTGGCCGGAGAGGGCGGAGAGGCAGATTAAGGTTAGAATTTGGGATTTTGGGACTGTTTAATAATATAAGAAAAGTTAGAGTTATTTATAAATATAATAATATTTTTAATATGTTTTTTTAAAAATATAAATTTTAAAATTATCAGGTTGTGACATGTGTCACTTAACAGTTAAAACTAACAACGTTGACGGTCCGGGCACCTAAAGTACTAACGTTTGTAATGTTAGGCACCCAGATTGATCGGAAAAAACGTAGTCACTTATTTGATACAAAAGACATAATTTGGGCACTTATTTGGGTATTAAGCCTATTCTAAAATCTTTCCCAAAAATCAGCGTGAAAGACGCGACTATAAACAGAAAATTCATCTCCCTATCTTTTCGTTTCAGAACTTTCTCAAATCTGAAAGGTTAAAATATGCTCTAAATCCTTGTACTCTTTGCACGTATGGAATTAAGACTTCTTACGTTTACTTCTAGGAATTTAGTCCATTTACTTTCATTTAAAAATATTGTATATTATTAAAATAAGAATATAATGCTTTATACTATTATATTAATAGTTTAACTTATGGTAAACTATGATTAAATACTGGATGGCTCGGTTATAATGTGTGCTTATTAGAGTTGTGTAAAATTCAATCTGACTCGAAATAATATTATTTTTTTAATTTTATATTATTCAAGTCAATTTAAATTTTTATTCAGAGTTTGAGTCCTAGTTTATTTTGGATTTTCAAAATTTTAAAAAAAATCTAAAATTGAAAATTAAAATGCTATCGTTTTGGTCTTTAGTTGAGTAATATGATTATTTTGTGATCTAGCCTTTAATTTTCTTGTTTCATGAATTTATTCTTCGAATAAGTTTATTTTTGATAAAATTTGAAATGCATGCTCCTCAACCATTATAGAATACATATGTGGTTTCAATTCATATTTCTAACAATAAATTTCCTATGTTTTCAGTTTAGGCCCTTTAAGTTCGCACAATTTCCTTATTTCTTCAATTCATCCTTGTTTTAAATCCATTTTAACCAAATTTCAATCACATGCTATTTTACCATTGTAGAATATCTATGTAACTTTAATACATATTTTACAAACAAATTTTTATTTTTTAATTTAGTCCCTCAAGTTTACATTTTATTTGATTCGGTTCCCTGATTGCATCTCTTAATAGCTTTGTACTTCATTCAATACTTAATCCTTCAAATACATTTTGAAAAACAACATCATAAATCTATTATATAATTTTAAATGATATTTGATTAATTAAATAACATTATAAATCTCACTTTCGCATGTGAAAAATAATATGAAGAAATATATATGTATATTGTATATGATTATAGAGAGTTTTACACCTTTTCAGGACCGTTGGATGAGAGAAATCAAAGGTTGAGATTAATGGTAAGAAATGAGATAAAAAACAATGAGTTAATCTCAGTATTTGATTTTCCTCAATCCAATGGTCCAAAAAAGGTGTAAAACCCTTAGTTTTACATTGGGTATAGGTGGATCCTAACCTTATTAATGAGACAGGATCCGTTCACACCCAGTGTAAAACTAAGAGTTTTACACCTTTTTAGGACCATTAGAAGAGATAAATCAAAGGCTGAGATTAACAGTAAGAAAGGAGAATATATTCACTAGAGAAAAAACAAGAAGTTAATCTCAGCCATTGATTTCCTTCAATCCAACGATGCTAAAAAGGTGTAAAACTCTTAAGTTTTACAGTGAGTGTAAGTGGATCCTCCCTATTAAAGGGATAGGATTCGTTTACACCCAATTTAAAACTAAGAGTTTTACACCTTTTTAGGACCACTGGATGAGAGAAATTAAAGGATGAGATTAACAGTAGGAAATAAGCAGATATTTATTGAAAAACAAATAATTAATCTCAGCCTTTCATTTCACTCAATCCAATGGTCGTAAAATGGTGTAAAACTCAACTAATAATAATAAAATTTGAATGATAGAAAGATACTCATAAACTCAACTAACTTAATCTGTAATATCCCAAAAATCGGTTCAGTGACCAAAATGTAAGAATTCTAAACTTAGTGGTTTGATTGGAATAAATTTAAAAGTTCATGGACTTAATTAGAATTTATTTGTGTAGGACTGATTATATAATAAGGAAAGATAAGAGGGTATAATGGTCTTTTCATAAGAAATATTTTTATCTTTCCTTTTATGGGATATAAAACACGTAGAGAATGAGAGGAAATGAAAGAAAAGTCTGGAGACTTGGTTTAGTTATCTTCTTCTTCCCGTGACTCCATTGGTAAGGAGAGTTGGTTTCAACTTGATTGTTTCTTTCATTTTTAAATGGATTTTGATTCTTGGAGTATTAGAAAAGCTTAAGCAAGCTTAAAGGAAAGTAGAAGCTAAAAGATTAATAAGTTATGAGAGATTAAATATAAGAGGTTTCAAAGTGAAATTGTTGAAGACAAGTTGTAAATGAATTTTGAGGTTAAATTTGACTTGTCATGAACTGAAATAAGAAATTCAAAGTGTTAGAACTGAATTTGGAACATGTTGATAAATTGGTATGATTATTGAATTCAAGTGAGTATGTGAGATATTAGCTATCAGGATGAGTTAAAATGATATAAGTTGATTTGAATAAGTGTAGTTAAGTTGACATGTAAATAAAAATTTTCTTTGGATATGCTCATATCGGTTTTGTAAACTTTTTAGTTAAATTGATGTAAATATGCTATTTTATTTAATATAAGTTGGAATTTTTACAATTTTGTTCAAGTATATGATTTGACAGGTTAATGTAACATCTCATACTCGTATTCGGGTCGGATACAGGTTGGGAATGTTACATAATCTTTTTCCACTCAACATGATCGAATACTCAATCCTAATGTGTATACCCAATAGACCAAATTTTGAATCTCAAAACCCCATTTTTATTTCCTTATTTTTCATTAATAAGATAGCCTTTAATACAAATTGTTATCAACAATTAATCAAATCTTATATTTGGTTCAATTATTAGTTACAATTAAATTCTCTTTTTGAGTCTGTCAATTCTCATCTTATTTTCGTTTTTAATTATTATCAATAAGATTATAACATGTGTCGTTATCTTATTGGAATATTATTAAATTTTTAAGTGAAATTATAATAAATTAAAATATATATAAATAATAAAAATGAAATGTATAATTATATAAATTTACTTGATTTTATATAAACATTTTTATTAGTAATTAATGTATAATAATTTGATTAAAACTATTTTAAAAATTTAATTAATAAAATTTATAATTCAATAATCAAAATAAAACTGTCCCAATAACATAGTGACATACAGGCCAAAAGATAGTTTACCCTAATTATTATAATATTGAGGGCTAAATTGGCTGTCCCTTTTTCTCATATGTATGGGATAGGGGGAGGTAAGATAGTAGGTTACCCCAACACCAGGTTGAGAGCAGCTTCCGTAAGAGACCTCTGAATTATGAAATGCCCTCCGTGGGACTCGATCCCACGACCTCAAGGTTAAGAACCTTGTGCTCTACCAACTGAGCTAGTTGAGGGCTAAATTGAATTATTAAAATCAAACGGCTACGGGTCCAATATCTCTTTATCATTTGAAGAAAGAATCCCATGTGAATTGTGGGACATAACTTTGACTCCGCTTCCGGTTACAGGTAAAATAAGTGGAGCTCTCCACCTTTTGACCTTCAGTTTCCCCATTTTATCATCACTTCGACACAGTCTTCGAAACTTGTTTATCAGGTTGCCGAGGTACCTTTATTATTGGGTAAACTATACTAAAGACCACTATATTATTCTCAAAGGATCCTTTTAGTCATTAAATGTTTAAAAATTATAAAATTATAAAATTACAAAATGATTATTTAAATTTTATCAAAATATTACAAAATTATCACTGCGATCATATAATTTTTATATTTATCACAATATTATAATGATAATTATGTAATAGTTCAATAAATTTAACAATCATTTTATAACATTTAACATTGACTAAAACAATCATTTGAAAATACTTCAGTGACCTATGGTGAGTTTACCCTTTATCTTTTCTAGACTTGTAGGTCAGTGTGCTGACATATTTGTATACGTGGAATGATTTTATTAGACGGTGAGTTTGACGCGAATATATGAAAGGACGAGGGGTATTAGGTGACACGATGCACAATGCATTGTATTTTGACGGCATTGCTTTGACTCGAATCTTTTGGCTTTGCTTTTCTGACTTTTTTTTTGGTTTCATGTTTTTTTCATCATTATTTCAAGTCGTCTCCGATTCCATGTATTTCCCTATAAAATCAAAATACTGGAGTTCTTCTATGGATGAACAAAAATGGCGGTGGAATTGATGATTGGATTTGGTGCTGCTGGGGATAATAGCTTTGCAGCGAAAATGGAGGAAACAGCTTTGAAAGAGGCTGCAACTGCTGGGATTCAAGGCGTCGAGGAATTGATAAGATTGATGTCCAAAGCTGAACATCTTTACAATCAAGACGATTCTATTAGAACTTCTTCTTCAGATTCGGAGTCCAGCTTTGAGATCCAAGCTGTTACAGATAAGACTGTAAATTCTTTCAAGAAGGTTATTTCTTTGTTGGGTCGTCCCAGAACCGGCCATGCTCGGTTCCGACGCCCCCCGGTTAGTCCTCTCCGACAAGACGAGAAACACAAGCAATTAGAAACCAAAGTAAAGGTGTCTGCTTTTAAGCCGTTTTGTCCGGCACAACAGGTTCATAGGTTGCCTCCTCTGCCTCATAATCATCAACAGAGTAAAAACAGCGCTGTTTCGGCGGCGGCGAAGACCGGTGAAAGGCCTGGTACGATCAATTTCTCATCGATGACAGGGGATAGTGATAGCATGCAGCTGCCATCTTTCTCTTCCCATGTTCCTTCATCCGGTAAACCACCGCTGTCTTCCTCTCTGAAAAGGAAATGCAATTCCATGGATGATGCTGCTCTCAAGTGTGGATCATCATCTGGCCGTTGCCATTGCTCCAAGAAGAGGTTGGGTTTTCATTCTTTTGATCTAGTTTGATCTTAAAAGTTTCATCCATTTTACTGACTTTTTTCTTAATCTGACATAGGAAATCAAGAGTGAAGAAAGTGACTAGAGTTCCAGCAATCAGCAATAAGATTGCCGATATTCCTCCTGATGATTATTCCTGGAGAAAATATGGGCAGAAACCAATCAAGGGTTCTCCTCATCCAAGGTGAGTTGTTAATGCTATAGCTTGGCGTTTCTGAGTCAAATGAACTCGGTCCCTGAGTTTCCCCTAACTCGATTCTTTTTGCAGGGGGTATTACAAGTGTAGCAGCGTCAGAGGTTGTCCTGCGAGGAAGCACGTGGAACGAGCATTAGACGATCCGAAGATGCTGATTGTAACATATGAAGGGGATCACAGCCACAGGCGAAACATCAGTGGTGCACCGGCGACTATGATCCTGGAGTCATCTTAGTCCACCCCCCAATCCAACGGCCCTGAAATGATCATTCAAAATCGAATCAAACCCAAGATCAGACATTCTGTAAAGTTGTAAGAGGTAGTCAACTTGGATCCATGGCTTTAGGGTAGAAGACAATATAGTGTCCATTGTTTTTGGTTTTGTCAGAAGGCTCTGTGAAGAAAAGAAGGCATGGATTTGGTTTGATCTGAATCATGCAAGTGTCGGCTTCTTTGTTATTATTTATTTATTTATTTAATGTTCTTATGCTCTATTTATCGGCGTTATTAAATAAAAAAAATCTCATTAATTATTTTTTAAACAATAACCCTTTAACAGAGTTATTCCTTCAAAGTGTACACGTAAGATTAACTCGCCTATTTATTACGTAAACATGTCTCATGTTTTACAAGATACAAGGTTTTATGCACATTTTAAATTATTTAACTTAATATGATTATTTAATATCTTGTGTTTTTCTGAACGCGAGGTCCATGAGATATTTAGAAATTATCGTTTAAAAAAATTTTGAGATTTAAAATTTGAAAAGATTCTCTGTACATTTACCTCGTTTTGGGACAGTGCGAAAACCACTATAAATAAAGTCATTCCCCGTCCAAATTCCTCACACATTCATTAAAAAGAATTCTCTCTCACATATTCACTCTCTAATATTATTATGGCAATAATACACTTGGACTTGATCTTTAGCATGTATGCATTTATTGGCAGGATAGTCTGGTGATAATTTTTATTTATTAATTTGTTTTAAAAATTTTAATTATTTTAAACAATTTATTTATTTTTTTAATAATTTTGTTCGATTTTATTTATTTATGTATTTATTTCGAATTAATTATTCATTTATTTTGAATTTATTTACTTGTTTATTTATTTATTTAATTATTTCGAATTTATTTGTTTGTTTCGAAATTATTTGTTTATTTGAAGAGATATGAACCTTCATTGAAGTGTTTTATCAATCATTTCCCGGTCCCTCCATACTTGCACGAAGCTAGTTTTGGTTATGTTGGCACTATAACTTATGGTACGAAGTTGCACTCTCCATTAATAAATGTGTTGCTTGAACAGTAGAGACTAGAGATGCACATGTTTCATTTTCCTTGTGGGGAGGCAACTATTACCCTCGAAGATGTCTTATACCATCTTGGGGCTGCTTGTTGATGGAAATCATATTACCAATATGATTCATGGGGACTGGCTAAGCTTGTGTGAGGAGCTGCTCAGACTTACTCTAAAAAATGATGATTTGGATGGAGCGAAGATCTAAATTACAATTTTGGGCTACAATTTTACGTAGCCCCACCGATGCTACTACAGAAATTAAACAAATAATTTTTTAAATCTATGTTTATTTCATTTAATTTATTTATTTATTATATTTAAATTTTGTTTTAGTTTATGTTATTGTAAATTTTTGACGATAAATTTTTAATATATTCACACCATTTTATTTTGCAGCAATATGCTCGTGCTCATATTTTAAAAGTTATTGGGGGATCTTGATGTCTGATAAATCCTGAAACAAAGTGCATTTGATGTGGTTGCATCATCTACGCGATTTGTGGGCCGCTAAAAATAAGAGTTGGAGATCGATATTGTTGGCTTTTTTGTTTCGGGATCTATGTAAAGTTGTTCATTCGAACAAACAAGCAATTGGTGGCTATTTGATGTTGTTACGATCGCGGGCTTGGTTTTGAATGTCGTTTTTTAGCGCCAATTCCTACACAACTGTCCTCATTACAATTTTCACTGCTACAGAGGTAATTACAAATAACCTATGCTTATATATTTATTTCTACATGTTTTTTTAGTTTTACAAATAATTATATTTTATTATATGAATGATAGGTGGATCGTCGCACTTAGCCACTCCCACCTACCACAAAGTATGCGTGACTTTAGATTGTCGATCGATAAGATAATAGACGAGGTAATTAATTTTATAATTTTAATTTGTAAATTAAATATCAATTCTTTGTTTGAGTTTTTGTAACATAGTTTAAAAATATTTGTGTAGTTCGTGTGGACGCAGTACATTGACGATGCTATTAGAGCGTCTACTCCAAATGAGATACGTCATAGGTCGTATGTTTGGATGTTGGTGGTCTCATTGATAGTCTATGAGAATGTCGAGTGCCATCCTGCTGATCGCGTATCGCGACAATTTGGTTGTGTTCAAACGGTTCCACCACCACCAACAACCTTGGACAATGCCTTACATTGCATGACACGACAGAGGAAGACGAATGTTAATTGAGAGGTGTATCATTTGGATTTGGTGATGCAGTAGATGTCAAGGTTTGTTAGGCAACCCGTTTCTGAACCTATCTTGGCTTATGGTGTTTCAGATGATTACATGTCGTGGTACGAGCAAAATGGAATGTCGTATATTCTGACCGAGGAAGAGCGAGCACGATAAATTTATAGGCCTCCCCAAAATCGCCCGCCCACGCAACGTCCCCCGACGCAACATGTTGTAAGTTATGGTAGATGAAAACAAGCTCAAGCCTCATCATCGGTAACGACACATACACTTACAGAGCATCAGACACCGCTAACGACATCTACACTCACCTACTCGACATTTCAGCATATGGCGACGCCGTCATCATTTCAGCATATGGCATCACCGATGGAAGGTTTTTCGTTGACATATTTGGTTTCTATCCGATGGTCATTGTCCATTCTCATTTCCCTTCTACACCAACTGAACTGTATTATTCGTCACCTCCGTGTGTATCTGTTCGACCATTGGCAACATACTTTAGATCTAGAAGTGTTGAGCATACGCCGCTGCAGAGTATGTTCTACGCCAGTCTTGGTTCTAGTGGCAGTGGTGGTACATGCCATGTAGATGATGGTGATGGTGGTGGTGATCAGAGTGATGATGATGCCCCCAAATATAGATTCGTAGAAATCCTCGTCGGACTCGTCATCCACCAGAGTGCAGTACAGGTAGACATAAGCATAATTAGTTGTTTACATTTATAATTTTTTAGTTATTCGAACTACATTTTCTTTTTTTAGTTAATTGAACTTCTTTTTCTTTTTTGTTTAAAAAATAGTATTCAAATA